TCAGTCTCGCATTGTTGTGTGTTGTTGCTTAAGTGGAAGAGACTTGGGAAACGGGTAGCTGTTATATACAATGATTAGGTGGCCTAGTGACATTCTTGATTAAAATGTCAATTTCCAGCTCGGTGTCCCTGTACAACTCAACATATTGCAAAATTTAAATCTGGCGACATCATAACAACATTACGGATAGCATTACCTAATAACCCGCTGATGAATTTTTCCAGGTCTGTTTCCTGTAGCACATTTACAATACACTTTAAATTTTCTCGTGAGCAGACTGTGTGCTGAAAATCCATGGAATGTTGAGGGGAAAGTTCCATGTGAAATTCACCACATACTTAAGAAAGTAACGCATAACACAGTGATGGGATCTCAACAGAAAGTCTGATGCACTAGCATCATGGATGATAATTCTTGCTCAGACGAGTTGTAAATTTGTCAACATTTTCATTATTTACTAATGAAAATAAGCTAAAATAGCACGATATAAATTCCGCTAGAACAGACAAAACAGAAGGTCCATCTGATTCATCGGAAGAACGCATAAATCGAAGAAAATGCATCCTGGTGCCAAATCAGCTTTCTGTATGGGGATGAAAAAGAATATGCTTAAATGTTTACTCTGGATGATACATAACACTTAAGTACAGATGTGCCTACTTTTCATTCGATGCCGAGTGTTTGTGTATTTATTCGGCTAAATTTTCATAAGATTTCATATCAGTTGTTTTTCAGTCGAATCAAATAATCAGTGAAACATACACAGTTGAAAGCATACCACCTGGTAATGAGAAAAGTCTCTACACATCCTCCATGCCTTTTCCATCAGTCATATTGACCTCTATGAAACAGTATGAAAATTGGTTACGTTGATATTAAATTTCAAATGACAATAATAAGTGATTTTGTTAAGTGTACTCATGTGCGCTAAACTCCGAGAGCATGCCCCCTAGTCTCACTGAGAAAAAGAACCTACAGCCATCACTTCATGTGTTTTATTATTATTATTATTATTTTATTATTATTCCCTTGCGTTCCGAGTGGAACATAGGACTTCAACAACACATCTCTACTTTGTTCTGTTTTCTGCCGTCCTCTTCAGCTGGGTCCACGATTGACCAAACTCTTTTATCTATTCCTCATACGATCTCCTCCATGTCATCCTAGGACGACCCACTCGTCGCTTCCCATTGAGATTCCACTCGAACCATGGTCTGGCGATTGATGTCATTCGGAGGCCTCCTCAATGTATGACCGATCCATCTCCACTTTCTCCTACATATTTGTTGAGTGATCGGCTCTTGGTTAGTCTGTTCCCAGCCAGAGTTTCTTGTGGTTAATTCTTTCTGGCCATTTGATCTTCAGTATGGAGCCAGCCAGCGAAGGTGGCAGCTGTTGATAAAAGTCTGCAGTGGCGTGTTGGAAATCCTTTTCTTGACACGCAGTGTAAGTTTCTGACTCGTATAGTAGGACCAACTTCACATTTTTGTTGAAAATCGGAATCTTGTTGTTTATGTTGGCTGAGTGAAGCAGAATATTTTCAAACTGCCTTCAGGTTGATGAAGGGGTCTCTTTCCTTTCCGATTCTGACCGGCTGCCTTTGACATCTTCATCCGTGACGTGTGCCTGCAGTTGAAACGATGCTTCCTAGCCAGATAAGTGAAGGCAGGAAGTCACCTCTTTAAATCTCTCCTATTGATGGTGATTGTTGCTGGTTGTTGTTGTTGTTGATTGATTGATTATCTTCATCACCTCCGTCTTCTCTGTATTCACCCACAGTCCCGCTTTCGCTGCCTGCCTCTTCTACCAGTTGGTTGGTTTTCGCTTGCAAGTCTTCGAGTTTGTGTGACATTGGACATATATCATCTGCGAAATCCAGGTCTTCTAGAGTCTTATTATCGGTGGTCCAACGTATTCCTGACTCCTTGCCCCCAACAGTCTGACGCATAATCCAGTCCACCACAATTAAGAATATCATAGGTGATAATAGGTAGTCCTGTCTTACTCCTGTTTGCACTTCAAACGTCGCTGAGTTTTCCGTTGTGGTTTCGCAGCATGTTTTTTCCAATAGTACAGTGATAATGGCCACACAGCTTCTGATGTATCCTTCAGTGTACACCTGACAAAAGGGACACAAATGCACTTGCTTCATACAGCCGAAGACTTGAGGATATATGACATAAGACTTAAAGTCTGTTTACAAATCAACATATACGATCTCTTCCGTTGCCTTGGTCTTAATTTTATCCTGGACTTCACGAAACTATTTTTGTGCGTTCCATTAATCTTCATTATGCTTCATCTCATACCACTTTATGTTATCACGTTCTAACAATTTATATTATTACTGAAGATGCTTCACTTATCTTATTTTCTGATCTTATTTCATCTGACCTTACAAAATTACGTATTCATATTTCCAAATTTTTTCAATCTTGCTATCATCTAATTATGCACGTCTACTAGACTTTGTGTTCCTTATTTATTTATTAACTCTTACTTCTAACCAGTTTGTGATTCATAATCACCTACACTAATATTATCTCACTTTAGTATTTCCTCTCATCGTCAAATTTTAACACACATGCATACGAAAGAACTACTTATTACCATCCAGGGAAATTCATATATGAATATGGTTGTACATCTATGAAAATAAATTCATCCAAATGAGAATTGTCTTCCTTGAAATCTTTGTATATTATTAATTTAAGCATCATATTGATTGTGAAGCCAAATTTTCTGTGATGTTATCCACCCCAGTTACAACAAACACTGGTGGAAGATAAAGGCTGAATGGATTCGACTTTTTCATGCAACAACCTGCAGCTTGTGTCAATGCATTTAAGAGTTGCTTTTCGATTTATAATTGTGCGCTTTCACCATTATAATGCTTTTTATTAATTTCTTTTTGGAACATATAAGAGGATAGGCTTAAAACTTCTGCAATTTCGTTGGTATAAATCATTCAGTTTTGGGCCACATTTATTTGTGGGTGAGCTCTTTGTTAGTCTAACGTGTACCTGTCTCCACACTCCCCACTCACAGTCCGTTGTATGGTCCAGTCTACAATCACCACCGGGATTACCGTCGATAGTAGTCAGCCTTGCTTTACGTCTGTTTTCCCTTCAAACCTTTCACTGTGTTGTGAATTAATGGGAATTTGGTACCAAGGTTTAGCTTCTGAACAAAATCTACAAATGTTTACACCAATGGACTGCATAGTGTTGAAGCAGTTACCGTACTGCATCATGGTCGACACTTTCGAGATCGATGAAGTTGAGGTAAATTGGTGGGAATATACATATGATTTTATAGGATACCTAATTATAACGCCTAATCAGTATCTACCAGGGTGTAAACTGCGTTAATAATTTTTTCGCAAAAATGTTTGATAATCGTGGGCATTAATTTTTTAAAAGAATATAAATACATAGTGGTTTCATTATCGTAAAAGTGACAGAAAAATGAAATTTTATGACATCATGACTTGGCACTACTATAGGTAAACTATAAAATTTTTGCACTTTTGGGAAAAATTATCATGCCTTATGAAAATTATTACAGACATTCATTATTATTACGCACGCAATTTTTTCATAAAAGAATTTCGTGTAGAATAAAAATGAGTTTGCTAGAGCAGTATTTACATGAAGTGGAGCAAATGTCTAACGGTTTGTCAGCTTTGAGAATAATCTTATCATTTTTGCATACATAGTACCAATGAGACTAGACTGTTTTGCGATCATCTCAATATTAAATTTAGAATGTGTATATCAGTTTGATGAATTCAAATGACACAAAACACTTATTATAGTGGCGAGCATTTTCTTTTTCATTGCTATATTTCCTCAGTCAAAATCATATACAACTCAGATAAATCGGTTTTCTTCTTTCTTGTCTCTTAAGTGCCCTATCTCTTCACTACCACTCTTAGTTTACGCTCTGGATTTAAAGATAAACTGGCTAACTTCCACTGTTTTATGTGTATCTATCGATGTGACTGCTCCTATGGAGCCAGTTAACATAGGAAGTACAGTTAGGCATTTTTATCATCGGATTTCCTACTATCATCCTGCGAGGTTAAGCGAGAGACAAACAAGGTCCAGCTGTTCTAGCTGTGTTCTAGCTCATTTTGTGAATGCATAACACAACATTGATGCTATAAGGCTTTCACAGTTATATACCGTGTTCCGACCAATATTAATCTTACCTTACCAGCTTGTCTGTTAAATACTGCCGAAGCCATCAGAATCCACATTATGAGGCCTATCCTTATGGCTTCAAAAGCAGTTCATTCAAACACCTTCTCTACTATCCTTAATGTTGCATCAATTCTCTTAAATCTATCTTACATTATATTTGGTATTACATTTTTTATGTTTATTATAACTCACGCATCCTTCTTGAACTGTAATCCCATTGATCTTGAGGAATATTACATAAATGTGCATAAATATATTGTTAATGACGATTATTCTAGAGTATTATATGTATATATATGTATATATACTGTACAGCTGAACAAGGCATTTATCGAAAATATTCTTTGCTCGAACTTTCTTTTGTCTCCTAAATGCCTGAATGGGAATTTACGCCACATTCTGAGTACAACTGTGACTACTTACCGAATATTCGCAAACAGCATTATTTTTCTTGAACATGCTTTAAGTAGTACAGTTTATTTTTATTCAGTAATGCTCTAGTTTACTTGAGAATGCAAACCCTTCACTTTGTCTTTTTTGAATGTTTTTTTTTTTGATAGTATATTAAATATTATGTAGATAAAGCAAGCAAACATAAAATAAATTTAAGAACAAAAATATCCATGTCTAGATTAGTAATTCAAATACTAAACACATCACTAGTCGAATTTCACAAAGTAGGAATAAAAAACATTGACATTATGAAATTTGCTTTATATTTTACGAGATACTTGTTTTATAGTGCAAAACTGTTTAGGTCACCAAATTTCAGCACATTGACGTCTTGAATTCTTTTTATTTTCCCTGGAAAAAGAAGACGTTTGTTTTATTTCTGAAACCAATTCGTTACAGATAATATTTACTGTGTTAAAAATAAATATAAATATATATAATAAATTAATTAATTAAATAGACCGGGATCCTAATCTGAATAATACAAATACATTGATTCTGTTTCGTCGACGAAGTACAATGGAACTGTTGGCAGTAAATATTTGCAAGTGTGATAAAGTAATGGAAGCACTAATATTCTTACTGAGTTTAATCATAGCAAATACTACTAATTATCCTAAACAACAGGTATTTCTCACCAGCCTAAGGCTGACTTTATAACGTAGATTAGGAAATTTAGGAAACATGTAGACAAAATAACATTATATACATGTATACATGGTGGTATAAGTCACATTGCTTAGTCATTCAAGAAAGATGGGATTATAAGTGAACTAGAATTCCAACACATTCATTCTGGTATTTAGATGGCCTAGTAACATGTCATTTACTGTAAGTCCTGAAATGGTTACCAATTCATTAATTTTAATATTATTATATTATTATTGTTTCCTTTAGTTCCTAGAGGAACATAGGGCTTCAGCCGCATATGTCCACTGCGTTCGGTTCTCTGATAACATTTTCACCTGGTTCAACATCTGCCTACATGCTTTCATCTCCTCTTCACATGACTTCCTACATGTCAGCTTCACACTGAAGACCAACTCGCCGCTTCCCGTTCGGGTTCCACTCGAGCGATGTCACTTGATGGTTTTCTCAGAGTATGACCAATCCACCTCCATTTCTTCCTGCTTATTTGTTGCACAATTGGTTCCTGGTTGGTTCGCTCCCGGAGATTACTCACTATTCCTGATCTTTTCTGGCCGGCCATCTGATCTTGAGTATTGAGCGAAGACAGCTGTTAATTTAGGTGTGTAGTTTGTTCGAAGTGCCCTCCGTGACACGCCAAATCTCTGACCCGTATTGTAGCACCGACTTCACATTGGAGTTGAAAATTCGCATCTTCTTTTTCATGCTGAGTACTGTTGACCTCCACACAGACTTGAGACTAATGAAAGCTTGCCTTGCTTTCCCGATCGTCACTTTGATATCCTTGTCAGTCCCGTAGATAGGTGAAGGAGGTTACTTCTTTCAGATTTGCTTCATTTGTGATGATTGTTGTCTTTTGTTGTTGCTGTTGCTGTTGGCCAGGAATACTCATCACCTCTGTCTTCTCTTTGTTCACCTGAAGTCCTATCTTTGATGCTTCTTCTGCCAACTCATTGCTTTTCACTTGCATATCTTCCAGTTTGTCGGAAATCAGACATATATTATCGGCGAGGTCCAGATCCTCCAATTTTTTGTATATGTCCATTCTGTGCCGGTTTTCTCGCTGTCTGCTGTCTATCTGTCTCATTATCTAGTCTAACGCAATCAGAAAAATCATTGCAGATAGGAGGCAGCCTTGTCTTACTCCGTCTTCACTTCGAAGGATTCCGTGGGTTTCCTGTTGTGGATTACTTGACATGCAGCATTATTGTACAACTGTTGGATGACATGCATAATTGTTGGCGGCACCCCGTAGTAGCAAATTAGTGGCCTTTTCAGAGTCAATGAAGTTGAGATAGAGAGGTGACTGCCATTCCAAGCTCTGCTCAGTGATGATCTGTAGTGTTGTGCGTTGTGGGTGGCGGTCGATTTAGAAGTCTTTTGAAGTGTTCAGTCTAGTGTTTCCTTTGCTCCACCTCTTTGGTTATTGACTTTCCATTGTCATACTTTACTGGCTTAATTTGCGTTGATTTCTTCCCCATTAGAAAACTAGTTGTTTGGTAGAGTGTTGCGAAGTCTTCTTTGCCTGCAGATTGTTTTGCTTTATTTGGCATAGCTTCACAAAATTTTCTTTTGTCTTCCCTAGCACTTTTCTTTACTCTTTTGTTCAATGTATTGTAGCTTGCATTCCACTCCTGTTTTTGTTGCTCGTCGATGCACTGGATAATCTTATGTTTCACCATCCTTTTCTCTTCTGTTAGTCTCCATGTGTCCGTGTTGAGCCACTATTTGTCCTGCCTCTTTTTTCTGTCTAGAACTCCTATGCAGTTATTTCTCCACACTGCTTCCAGTGCTTTTCAACGCTGGTCTCTTTGCAAGTGTTGACTTGTGTCTCCTTCTTTTTCCTTGTTACTGCAGTGAAGATGTCCTTTGTGGCCTGATCCTTCAGTTTTTGAGTATTGAACTTGGCTTATAGTCTGTGTGCAGCTCCTGTTTCCTTGAAAGTTTTTAATTTGATTTGGAGTGTTCCATGCACGAGATAGTGGTCTGAGCCTACGTTTGCTCCTCTTCTTTCAGTACATATTCTTTAAATTTAAATCTATAATAAAATTATGTTACTCTACAAAGAAAATTTCAGATTGTTTATTTCCCTTTCACTATAATTCAGCTCACATTTAAGGGTTAGAATAGATAAGATTAATGATAAATTTTTACCAAATGAAACTTGTTCCTAACGTTATCCACACATGTTATTTTAATAATTAATCCGTTAAAGGCATTTGCATTTGAAAAGAAGCTTTAATAAAAGCTGCGAATAGTGAAATTCCCTTAATTTTTCCCTTATACTGAAGTTATTTATGAGTATTATTAAGTGCACAGTTATCGCTGATCTTCTTTTTTCTCTTTCACAATGAATAGTTGTTGTTTGATTATTATCTACTGGTTCACTGTCTCATTGCAAAATAGTAATGTTCCTAAATGCACATACATAACGTTGTGTTCAGTGTTTAAGGCTAAAAGCTAATCTCAACCGAATATACACTTCTGCATTATGCATAAAATGTATCAGCAGCACACATTTCTGCCAGAATATTCTAGCAGTTATGCCAAGATATCTTTCTTAGCCCGTATCACAGATGAGTTGAAGTTTAAAAATGAACTTTTCTCTTTTTAGACACAGTATAGTGTAATCAACCCTTATCATAACAATGTGCGTCGGTGGCATAGTGGTTAGGACGCTCACCGACCATGCACATGGTCCGGAGTTCGATCCACGGCCGACGCACACCTGATATCAGCGGTCGGACTGCGAAATTCGGGCTACCGATATCACATGCCGAAAATTCCATACTTCTACCAAAAAGTACTGTGTGGAATCAAGCTTTAACCAAAAAATAAAATTAGACTTTTGACTGACAATCAACTTTTGAAGAGCTCATTAACGATTCATGAGTTTAATCACAACAGCTAAACAACTGGTGCTGAATAAGGTTTTATTGTTCACTAGAAAGTGAGCATATATATATCTGTAATGGTAAAATACATTTGAAGTTGTACGTTGATATCATTATCAAAATATGAGTCGATGAAGTTTCCACACAGCTGTCAAGACATCAAGTTAAAAGCTGACAGTGGTAATAATGTTTCGTAGTTCATAATACCTATCGTAGATCGAACGTGAATACAGAGGTATTCACAGTGTCATTTTCTATCATTTCTTTCTTTTCTTAACGAAAAAGGATGCATAATTTATTCCACTCGAACGAAAATTTCACTTTACAACACAGTCAGAAATTCATTCAGCATAGAATAAAAGTAAGTTACCTCAAAGTTTACGTCTTCCCAAACATCAGCTACATGAAATTTCTTTTCCCTACTGTCCGTAAAATAAAAAGATTATTTGTATATTAGAATAAACATCACAATATTCAACTTGCAAACATGTATAAAATGTGAGCATGAAAAATTCTTATGGATGAAAATCAGATGAAAGACACTTATTCTTCTGATTCGCCTATGAATTCAGAAGGAACAGCTTTTGCTTTTTGGCTCTTATGTAGTCAACAAAATGCTTCATACTTGGTAGCACTCATCAGTCAGTTCTTTTGGCTAAAACGCTGACTAGATCCAGAAGATGAAAGGTATTAAATTTCTAGTTGAATAAAAGCAGAATCGTTTAATCTGTTTTCTAAACTCTCTGTCTTCGCCTATCAGTAGTTTCTCACTGGTGCATTTTAGGAAATAAAAGTAAGGACAAAAATTGCATTTAGACAATTTCGTGAATTATACCCAAAAACCTACTGAGGATATATAGGCTACTGCAGCGTAAAGTGTTGCATTTCAAAGCTACGTCTAATAATTCATTATTTACACAACTACATTTTCAAACGTATCTTTGTACTTGTAAATGTATGTAATCAGTATAGGTGAAAAAAGTTAGTCAAGAATTAATAAAACATTTAAAAAAATACCTTGGTAATTCGAAACTTCGTACATCGGCTGGAGGGTAAGCATAAGGCATGGCATGCCAACTATTTCGGCTGAAAAATTCAACAACACATTTCAGGTTTGTGTTAGGCATCACTTGAAAATAGAATGTGATTAAAATAAACATATGAAAACTTCAGAAATATTCCATACACCTATAAAAGTAAATAATTATAATGAAATCTGTAATTAGATATTTGAATATGGATAAATCACCCAGGATCTATTAACACTTCGAATTTTTGTTTATCATTGTTCCCTTATGAAACATTAGGTTGATGGGTCTCAGTGGTTGCTAAATAAATTTGGTATACCATATCTCCAACGCTTTATTTGCACATCATTCCCAATTTGGTCGAATATCACCACATTTCATAGCGTGTTGCATTTTGCACAGTATTTCTAGCGTTCTTCCCACAGTTCTGTTCTTTGATTTCTTTTTTCCAGTGTCTGAAACATACTGTTGCTTTTCTGAATTCATTTACTGATATAATACTTATATCTGATTATAAGTAGCACTCACCACAGTATGATATGATTATTCCATAAAGGAATTACACTCCTTCACTTTGCTGAAATACTGTTCTTGTGTTAAATAGAGGAATAATGTAAAAAATGACGGTAAATGGTGGAAAACTAAAGACACAGGTGTGAAAACAACTTAGTCACCCCGAATGAATGAATGAAAAGTGAAATAGTTATCTGAACACAATGTGAGAAATTAATCCGAGTAATGAAGCAAAAGATTTCTGAGAATGAATCCATTATTTTGACCACGATGACCTTAACAGAGAGCCTAGGCAAATCACTGACAACTCTTAGCCATCACACTAGTTAAAGGTTTTATAAGGTTCGCTGATTTCATTTTCATTTTCAATGATACATTTTTTGTAGTGTTCATTTCTAACAATGAAAAAAGTCATATATATATGTGCATATACATATATATATCAACTGAATCACGGTTCTACAAACAGTAACATTTCTTTTTCTTAGCTTGCAGACACGTACAATCCTTACTATTTATTTGAATAAGATAAAATAAATCAACACAACGAGTTGTATGGATACATATTCAGATGTACTGATGTTTCAAACTTTGTGCCACCTAGTTTTGAATAGAGAAAATTAATTTGACGGTTTTTCTGTACAACTCACTGAAGAAAAATAGTTCTTTGAAAAAAGCTTTCATGTCTCACTTTTAAATCAATGTGGTCCTTTTAGAAGCAGTTTGTTAAGTACAGTTTTATTTGTAAGCTCTGAATAGTTGGAAAATGTGAAGATAAGTGGATACTATTCAGGTGAAAAATATCATTTCGTGGTTAAAAACAGTCTTCGAATTTAAATATACATGAGAAAAACTTTTAAAGGACTAAACGGAAGCTCGGAAAAAGTGATTTACACATTGAATTAGTTGTGTTTTCTGAGCTGGTTGATTTAATTGCAAATCTTTCGTCGTCCTTCTAGACAACGTCTTCAGTGCAGGCTTTAGTATGAAATGAACTCATTTGAATTCTCAATGAATAATATAACTGTGTCTCCTGGCAACCTTCTTCATGACTGGTTGTTGATTTGCATCTCTGTTGATCATTTTTATTGACTTGGGATTTGAAATTTCTTGTCATGTGGTTTACCATTTATTAGCCGGTAAATTTGTTCCATATTAATGTGTTTGTGAATTGCTAATTCACTCGAGTACAAGGCTTCTAGAAATTTCCTGGCATTTTCTGTGTCTCCTCTATTTAAAATGTCTACAGTATCCCAATTAAATTAGTGTCCATAATTATCTATATACATTGATTTAAAAGGATATGTATCATTTCTTTTTACAGCTAATTTGTGTTCATGGATTCAGATTCGAAAGGGACTCTCACTTTGACAGATGTAGTGCTTATTGGAGTTCATACATTTTATTTTGTAAATGGTATTAATTTTATCTTCTTTTTCTGTTGGATGTTTTGGCTTACACATTTTTGTAACCAATTAACAAACTCGGTTTACTGGATATTACAATGACCAGGAGAGATGATGGAACGATTCAGAGATCTATTTTTCGTAAACAGACATGGAGTGGACAATATCTTCATTTCATCAGGCTTGTTCCTATCCAGTATAAATGTTCCCTATTGAAATGTTTATTCTCAAGGGCCCGAAAAATATGCACCAGTGACACTTTGATGGATGAGCTTCGACACATACAATCAGTTTTATTAGTTAGTGGTTATCCAGAAAACTTTATCAATTGTCACAGTAAGGATAGACCACATCTAGGAAAGACAGCTTCTGTACCAAAGAAAGCAATCTTTATTAACCTAACATTCAAGGGTGACCAGATTATGCAGTTGACAGCTCAAAGACTTTGGTCAGCCATCAAACGCACATTCTACGACGCATCTCCTTTTCTCACATATCGAAAATTTTTGATCCCTGTACCTACGATTAAAGGACGAAATTCTGTTGACTCTACTTCAAACTGTATCTACAAATTTACCTGCAGTTGCGGTGACACCTATATAGGTGGAACTAATAGAATATTCCAATGTCGACGCAAAGAACATGTTCCAAAGTGGTTATTAAAACATATAGAAAATCCCAATGCAACTAATCTGTATAGAAATCCAGCATCATCGATTGCAAAGCACTTAATAATGTCAGGTCAAAAAATCAATATTAATGATTAATAAATTGAATTTCCCGTCGATTGATTGGGCCGAAGTGCTCAGTCTTAAGTTGACATGGCGGCTTCTTGTGCAGATGCTTCGACGATATCTGGGTATGTAATTAGAAGTTAATTGAAGGATGGTGACTAGAAGTGGAATCCACTAAAGATGCGCATTTCGTCCTATTTGGGACTCGTCATCTGGATGTACCTGCATTGCCCAGTGAGCGATGATGTTCTCACCGAGGCTCGATCCCAGTGCTAATAGGTTCAAACGCCAAAGTGTTATCCACTAGACCACTTGGGCCATGAGAGCCACTTCTTGTGTACTTGAGAGGGAGCACTTCGGTCCATCAATCGGCGGGAAAATCTAAAATTCAATTAAATAAATAATATGACTCGTTGCACAAGAGGTGGCTCTCGTGGCCCAAGTGGTTTAGTGGATAACGCTTTGGCGTTTGAAACTATGGGCACTGGGTTCGAGCCTCGGTGGGAACATCATCACTCACTGAGGAATGCAGGCACATCCAGATGACGAGTCCCAAATAGGACGAAATGAGCATCCTTGCTGGATTCCATTGCTAGTCACCATCCACCAACTAAATATTAATGACTGTTTCACAATTATTTCATATAGCTCTAATTCAAGATTATTGAAGGTGATGGAATCACTTTGGATTAGTTAAATACAGCCGAAACTGTGTACAAAAATCATTAGACTTCAACCTCCGCCTACCATGGACTACTTGACCTATTTAAATATGATTGGTCATTTGGATGTACTTTTGTTTCTTATGTAACTGAGTAATTGTCATGCAATTTATTTTATTATTGTTAGCCATGTTAGTTGTAAAGTGGTTGTAAAGAAACTACGAAATGATATCATCTCGCGAAATTTGTCTTCTAAATGCCTTATTCAAATTTATTAAAGGGACTAATTGTTTTAAATATATATATGTTTACAATGTTGGAAAGTTTCCTGAACTAAACTTTACTTTCAACGTAGAACTTTGCATAAATGGGCAGGACTTCATGTAGCCTAACTTCATTTAACCTTCATAAAAATAAACAAAAGACCAAAGTGCAGAGAAATCATAATGAAAACAATCGTTCACAAGCAAAAATAATTACACAGAGAATAATGGAAATTTGATGCATGTGGAGGATGGCTTCGAGATATGCCACAAACAGTTTTCAGTAGTAGGTCCTCACAATGTCACAAACATCCCAGTATGGCAGTCTACACTTTCAACCAAAAGCCATAGATTCGGTAGATTTACAGTATGTTTTAATTTGATCACCTCTCACGCTTTTCCAAGTAAGTCGTTTGTCTGCTACCATAGCTCAACATTTATAGCTGTCACCTGGCTTGCGTAACACTTGTCCTAGCCATCTGCGACACCAAGTTTGGTTTAACATGGTGTTTTTGATACTTAGAAAATGGAAGCGCTGAACCTTCTTTCATTGGTCTTACTTACATAGTTTAAAACAGCTCAGTACAACGTCAGTTGTTTTATACAGTCGATATACACTACAGGCATGCATATGTACGGACAGTCACCAACATGCCTTTTCTTATGAAAAACAATTTTTCAAAGTAGTACGTTTAGTTACAAAAGGTTAAAAATAGCCTAACTGATATATTTTCTCACTTACGTATGTAACGTATGCTTTGATATTCTATTACAGGGCATAAATGTGAAAATAAATAGTCATATTTTACTCGCCTATGATTTCTTCAGAATGAAATAAAACTATCATTATCGTTATTATTATTATAATCACTCAGATAGACTTGTGCATGCTAGCAAAAGTGAAATTAAAATCTCCGCATGTATGATGCCTCGACCAACGTTTTTAGAGATATAAGCGTAATTCCTCGGAAAGTCATCTGTCTTAAAACAAGTGAAATAATTTTTTCAATGCACCCAAAACGCAGTTGTGATTTTCACGCTTCTCATAAAAGTTTTTAGGACGCACAAGTTTTGTTCACAGTAGGCTTAATATGCGGGACCACATTTTCTCCATATTTGTTCCCATGTTATTTACATTTTGAAAGAATTTTTAATTTCGCACAAATGAGTATAAAACGAAGCTTCTGAATGCTGTTTCGAATTTACTAGCGACTATCACTACGAGATACTTTTCAAGCTTAAATGCTAAGATGTGATCGTTTAGCTACCTAAATTTAGTATGCATACGTTCAGTAGTTGGTGATTTTAGAAAGTGTGATCACCCTAATAAGAATTAGCATATGGTGAAGATTCTGATAAGTGGATATTTAGTCTTTTTGAGATGCCAACAATCACAATTGACATCATATCAGTTTGTCATGGAGGCTGACCGCTTGTGTGTTCCAAGAAGTATTTTCAATTTATAATGACAAAAACGTTTAAAATTAATAGATATTCTTCGCATCACTCAGGTAATCATTTGTGATTTATGAAGCAAATCATGAAGCTATGCGACTAGTCGACTATGAGCAATAAATTCTGCTCGAAACGTCATCCAGTTAATAAGAATGTATCACTGCGTTATATTTAAAATCCACTTGTGTAATATGGAATTACATTCTACCGCAGCACTCAAGTTATACACTGACATTAATCATTGGGCAATCTAATAGAAAACTTAACCAAAGTACAACAACGTTTCCGTTCCGTAATTTTAAAATCCACAGGGTCAAGAAAACAATAACTTACATATGCTGCTAAGTAACTTAATTATTGAAGTATGCTTGCAAGACCAGAAGATTAGGAAATTGTTTGTCCCACTGTGAGCGCATATTGTAAACACTTAGCATTAAAACGTCGAAAAGACAGATAAATGTTCTAGTATTGGTTTTGTAGGGATTTTTTTGTTTGATTGCATGGAGGATTTCATTCACCCACCGGGGTTTGAACCCAGGACCTCCTGGTTACAAGGCGAACTCGTAGACCCTTCAGCCACTGGGTGCGTACTGTTGAAAAGTCCCAAACGAGGACGAAACAGGTTTTCCAGTGGTTCTCTAACTGATGTCAGTTCATGATGAAATCCTCCATGCAATCAAACAGATAAACGTTATTTCTTTATCTATTTCAAAGAAAAATTTACTGAATACAAGAATTATAATGTAGAGGTTTGAGATGCAGAATATCATTCTATTTAAGTTTTTACTACAAAAACTTGACTATTTTTTGTAAAATACAACCTCTTCGACTTTGGTCATAAATTGATATCTGTTAGTTGGAAATCAGGGAGTAGTGGATTACCACTTCATCACCCATAACACATCAGGCGTTGAGCCCGGGATTTTCTGGTTACTAGGCCAGTCACACTGACATGGAATTCAGTAGTCCATAAATTCTAACTCTCGTCAATTTGTCACATGTTGCACCGAAAAGTATCTACCTTCACACCCGATTTGGTAGACTCCACTAGTGATGACTTCTTTGCGGTGACACCAGATACCAGTGACACTATATATCACAGAATCAACAGAATTTAGAACTTAATGAATTCTATCCCAGTGGCTTTATAATTGGAAGGATGCCTTTGTAAACTGATGGTCCTAGGCTTAGCTCTGAAACAGTAGTGGGTTAGCGAACCAAAGAACCCCCACTAGGACGAAACATCTCTTCATATCTCTCTAGTTTTCAATTTGTAATCTAACTTGAAATTAATTGGATTAAACAAACGCTTGAAATTATTCCTTTCGGTTGATACACTGTGCGAACCATGTGGTGATTTAAAACTAATCGGCTGTTTTCACAGCTTAGCAAAAAAATAGTAACACTCCCAGTCTTTGAAAATAAAAAAAATCTTTCCGAGTTTCTGTTCTTCGCGTTCATAGTGAAAGACAGGTATCCAAGCTTTGAAGTTCCATTAGTGATTCTGAGGTCTTTCCGCACTTACTGGTAGCTGGTAAACTCGGCGATATCTAGAAGTGCATCTGCCGGGAGTCGAAATTGAGCCATGTGTTTAGCCAGCTTGCATTTCTCTGATGTGCTTTTTAAATGAATGTGAAAGTGCTTTAACAGTATACTGAGTGCTTTCTAAAATGAGGTAGTTTCGTTTACTCGTGAATCTCGAGAAAACTTGAGTTTCATATAATCAGTGGATAAAATTCATTTTTTTCCTTCATCAACTGTATTTAAGTGAATTAAGAACTAAGAAGAAATAGTTGACTTCTTAACCAACTATCAATGAAGCATTTAATTAAATGATATATATATACACATTTAAATTTTTTACATTGTTTAAAGAAGAGGTGTTTTCGAAACTGAATTACAAAGGTGTGACTTGCATAAAGAGATGATTTCTTTTCCACAATAACCAAACGGCCTTTCCCAATGAATGAAATAATTTGTTTTCAAAAAGTTCTCAACAACCATTCATTAGGTAATCAGTTAGTAGGGTGGAGCCATTTTTTTTTCGTTGAACCGGTTGAGATAAGGATCACTGTGTAATGACGAGTAATGAGAGAGTCCCATTGTTATTGATTCAACACTAGACGAAATCTATTATTTCCGCTCGCTAGGTTATATTTTCAAAGATAAGCAATCTACAGTGATTACTGATACATTATTCACAAAGTCAATTTAAATTAGGTGTTTGATCATCGAATTAAACAGTTATTGACGCATACGTTGGTTCGAAACATCATAATAATATTGTGATGTCCATTCTAACTGGATACACATGATCATATTAATCATCAGTTATCTTGCGACTGAATTTCGGCTAGTCACTATGCATTAGTAATAGAAGTGGTTTTTATCACAGTGCAGTGTTCATAAGTTGTGCAGTGAAAGCTCTGTCAAACAATTAATAAATATCTGACAGCATCTAAATGGTTGAAAAAGCAGCACCCGCAATTGTAGCGATCCCTCAACAAACCAACTTTCTGAAGGTGCTTTGCAGATATATTTCCATTATCAGTAGTATTTAGACTTCTTCTCTAGTATTTAGACTATTTTAAAAGAAGTATTATCCTCATTATTTTGCATGAAACCTGAGATGATGGATTCCATTGTGTTTTCTTTTTAAATTTTTATTACTGACAGACTGTGCATGATTGTAGACTAATGTGTTTGTCATTTGTAACTACTACACTAATAGTCCTAACCGCTGTGCGTCGGTGCATAGTAACGCTCGCCGACCATGCACATGGTCTGGGGTTCGATCCCCGGCCGACGCACTCCTTTACCTCGCTAAGCCAGAACTAAGGCTAGTAAAGAGGAAAGGTTGGGCAGGAGGCTAGCAACCCCATCCTGTAAAAATAAACACTGCTATAGAAACTTCAAGCCACTAGCTTGAAGCCCTATGTTCTACTGGGAACGTGAAGGAAAAATAAATAATAAATAGGGATTAAACAGCATTTACTTAACTTTGAAGGACATCCATGATAGAAGAAAAACCGGGAACATCATTCAACTGCATAATGGACTGTGACGCTTTATCCTACTAGTCGATTAATATCGCTGTCATTAAAAAAGTGGTACGGAATCCAACAGCCAATCAATTGATTGTATCATGTCACAGTGAGCAAAGTTATGCATTAAAATTAATCTTTCACTATGCAAACACGTTTTCAAGAGAATAATCACGCCTAAAATCTTGCAAAATGTTTACTTATAATGTTTTACGTTTACACTGCTAACTCATAGAACCATTAGGGTATATTTACTTACATATTAGAACGTGATATATTTTTGTGGAAAGTCTAAAATCGTTGATTATGATGACAACCCTATTTTACTTATTCATTTCTACGGAGCCTTAGCCTTTGATTTGCCTGAGCAATTCTTATCAAAGTTCGTGGCTTCAACGTTAACCGATTATTGCACAGTTGTTTTGTTTTGTTAAATGAATAATTCTCAACTTTTGTGAAAAACTAATAATATAATTTTCAGAATACTTATACACTATTGAAATCACTTGAGTTGTCTATTATCTGCCTAACTTCTTTTCAGTTTTTTTCGCTTCAATGAACATATTAGACACATAAGTAACTTTTATAGTTATGTAAGACATTTCCAAGTACATTCAGAGTGATACATATATCTAAATGAAGAAAGTAAGCGGAACACCACTATTTATAAGTGAATCTAAACATAAAAGTGTGTAAGAACTTACCCACGCATTGGTGAGCTGAGAGTGGTGCATGCGAAACAGAATAGCGCCAAAAATAACGCCAAGTAGAGTTTCATTTTTTGCTGTCCTGCTGAATAAACAAAAAAAGGGGTACGCTGATTCAATTACATTTATTGTCTAAAGTAGGTCTTCTTGAAATAAAAATCAATTCTTTTTGAGTTGATTTAAAAAAACAAATAAAGATTGACTGGTTAACACTAAAATTTATCTCCATCCTTATTGATGAATAAATACTGTCGAATAAATCTTTAGTAGCACTGAAATCAGCAGGTCTCTGTTATCCCTCAGTCCTTGTCAGATAAAGAATGATAAACAGACGCAAACCACTTCCTTGAAAAAGAAGGTTTCCAGTATAATTTGAATATAAGTAGTTTCTTAAACTAATGGGCAATAAATACTGAATGATCATTTCAAAATGCATCTGATGTGTGCCTATCAGTTGGAATAGACAATTTTTCCATGGTCGATGTTAGAAGTTAAGCGTCTTCTCGTTGATTCCTAATCTAAACAGAAGAAAACTCTGTTATTGTGAAATGATCTTTTTGTTCAAAGCAAAACAGAAATGCATAAGTAATCCATTGGACAAGCAATTAAGTTCTTGAACAATTTAAGGTCTTCACTCTTCTAAGGCTTGCTCAGTAACCCGATGACTTATCAAAATGAGGGGAGAAAGTTAAAGTCTTTACGGCAGCTAAAAATGACTCCTGAGGGAATGGGTATGGCTGTCTTCACACCGAATGGTAATCTCTGATACTTATACAGCCTTCTATAATTTTTGATGGTCAAGAGTGCCTTCGACGAATTACCACACTTATACTTGTAAATGAGCACCAGCTGAATCTTACTTCGTGTAGTACTTTCCACCATATAGCTTAACAAAAATGTCATCTGGTATTGATAGTGAATATGAATGATCTTCCAAAACACTGTTCAAACCAGAAGAGAAATCCGCACAGATGCGTAGTATCCTGCTCACCTTCTATATCGCAACAATAGGCTCTGCTCATGTAGAGAAGTTCACCAGTTTCACAACACCTAAATTTCCTAATTGGTTTAACTCTCGACGGACTGACTCATGAGATACATATGGAACTGGTCTTCTGGGTTTACCAATTGGAATAACATCATTCTGAAAATATAATTTTAGTTTTCTGTAATGCTCAACAACCCAAAGTCTCATTAAATACTGCTCGATGTTTATGGCGTAGAACATTGATCAGGTTATCTACATTTCCATCTATTGTTATTCTAGGAGAAGAACATACTTGGAACCGAAGGGAATAATATATATAGAAGTAAATTCGTGTGTGTTTCGTAGCTTTTATTTTCTTCACTGTGTTTGTAGACACACATCGGCTTATGAACTCATAGTCAGAATAATATGTATGGCAGTTTGTTATATAATGTACTCATTCTTTTTAAAAATTTGAAGGATTTTACAACTGATGCTTAATTTCTAGCTATAATAACTATAAACTGTGGTCCTGTTATAAGTTAGCTATTTCGTTATTATTATTCCCTTGAATATCAAATGGAGCTTCAGCAGTTTATTATCATTTTATCCTGTCTCCTGAAGTCGTTTGTCTCCGGATGCACGATTACCCTTAGACCTTCATCTCCTCCTTACACTAGTCCCTCTGTGGCTTTCTCAAACTCCAAACACGTCATCCTACATTCGAGTTCCGCTCGAGGGCTTGGAGTGTGATGTCACACAACGGTCTTCTCAGCATCTGTCAAATTCCCGCACATCACCGGAGTTATCATCGAATAAAGTTTATGTTTAATTTTTTATATGGGTGAAAAAATCATACCGCTTAATGTTATATCGTCTTCCTGCTAATGTGATTACATATTAGAAAAAAAATGGTGTCTGACAATTATTTTTGCAGGCCAACCGTAGATATCAGGTGTTCGTCGGCAAAAAAACCTAATATCATATTTAAAACAACTGGAGGTTTCACGTGAATTAAAATTATTTCAAGCGGTAATTTTGTCAGTGAGACTTGCAATGCCTGGAATTGTGTTTATTGTTGGTATTGTTCAGAAAAGCGAAAAGTTTACAACTTAGATGGAAGTCAGTCAGAACACATACTTAAACCCTGAAAATAAAACATTTCATGCCACTCTACGATATGATGCGACTTAGGCCTTCACACATATATCCAGTTGTATTTCAGTGAATTTTAATAACAAACTTGTTGGGAATACTTGAATGTTACATACTAGGCAACATTACTTCGATGTGATTTAATGAGCAGATGAATGTCGCCTACTTTTTTACTATCCAAATTATTCACACCAACTCAAAGAAATTTAAGAAAATTTGAAGTAAAGTTGAATTTAGCGAAGACAGAGTCTTTAGATGAGGTGAAATTGCCTGCGCGTAGTCAACGTTTTAATAAATTTCACACACCTAGTAAATACTGGTGATGCTACATAGTGTAGCATAAGTTTCTGCACAGTCAGCTATTGATTTATGACTTATGAAAGAAGCCACCGCACATACGGAGCAACACTAGTTATAGTACTATAGATAAGATTAATTATTTTTTTAGTTCTGTCTGTTCGACTAACAGACTTCATTCGTAGTTTATTACTTCAATCAAATCATTTCACGCACTAGAATTTTGAAATCAACGTGAATGAACTAATTCTATTATTTTCGTTTATTAGATATTTAATTAAATACGACAAGTGAATTCAAAAACTACTATTTGTTTTGACAAATACTGTTCTGATTCATTTTGACTCACATCAATTTTCCTAGATATATGTATGACAAGTATCAGTAATGAAGTACGAAATTAAATTGGAAACCACAACAATAAAATCATGGGTAAAATTTGATTTGCGTATATATAGCAATGAATGGTAATCTAACTGTGAAACACAACACTAGCTAGTTAGTTAAAGTGAAAAAGTATACTCTAAAGCCAGATGCTTCACATCTTAAAATGCTTTTATCGTTTCCTTGGTTTCATTCAAATCTGGTTATAAAACTTTTCTCCCAAAAGATATGTAATCAATCTTGGAACAACAAAACACATAGAGAAAAAACGAACTTAACGAGTAGTTAGTTTGAGATCTACTTTCTAAACTATTAAGCTTCATATCTGTAAAGAGCTTTTGTGATCGAAAGTGTTGACTCTCATTGTCTCCTCACCTTTGATTAATGATTTACTGAAATATGTGAAAGACTGAATTGTTTTTCGTATTTAACGTTAAACTAATTACACTAAAAAAACAAAGCCAGTGCAAAAACTGTTTCGAATAAATAAATGACCAAAACATTTGGGAATATATTATCCCATGATTTACATAAAAACCTGAAAACATTATTTTCATTTATTAAGTTACAGAATTAAGGAACTAGATTTAATGCGAATTATGTGGTGAGTTTGCGATTGTTTGTCTGACTGATAAATAGATTTCCCTAGGAGAATTACAGCACCTGAAGAATCAGTAAAAGCAGGTGAACAATAGACAGCCAGTTCTTTGTGGCTTAGAACAATCCAAAAAAAGGTATATGAATTGGTTTAAATTTTGAAGGAAAATAACAGTTAAAATTTCAAAGTTAGCAGCTATGCTGGAGGCGCCGTATGGAATGAAAATGAATGCAATGCAGAGTCATGGATGTACACAGTAAAAGTATCATGGTGAATTATATCTATCCAGTGTTTCTGCTCTTTATTATTTCACCTGCTGACATCAATCCATAATGAATGTTTTGATGTGTGATGGTAAGAATAACCAAAATAATCACCTAGATTATCTCTTTGTGGTGTTATGCAATTGGTAAGAGTGAAGATTAGTAGTTTTCTATATTTGTGATTAATATTGTATACTATTCAAAAACCAGCCAGTCCTTGGAAACTTTAAATCAATAAAACTACATTCTAATATGGATTAAAGAGGGAGCTTCATGGCTTCTGTTGAATTCAGTTGGACCTAGAGTGTTAAAATTACATCTTAGGAACTGATGTCATAGGAAATAATTTGATTTTCGGATAATAACAAACTGTTGAGTTTTGATGAAGTGCCTAAACAAGTTATTATAACATTTCAATTTGCATATATATATAACTAGTGACATTTTGGATTTCACACTTCAGGAAAAAACTCCTGTTTAGAGGTTGATTATGTGATAGGTGCAGTGCGTTTGATTGACTTCCATATGTAGTTGCACGATGTTGTTTTGCTAGTCAGCTACAGGTGATCTGAAAATTTATCTCTTCACTAAGCTCCTGCTTACCTCACTCCCTTTAACATGCACAACATTTCTCTTTCTTACAGATAATATATATGTATTTTGGAGACTGACAAATAATAATATTTTTTTAGTTTCCGACTTGCCTTACATTGTTTCTGAAGGTTAAGAGTCAGTGTTATTCAAATTTTCAAGTATTGGTTTGTAGGGATTTGATTGATTGGTTACAGGATTTCATCATGAACTGACATCGGTTAAAGAACCATTGGAAAACCTGGGCAGCTCTTACGTCCTAGTTTCATCCTGGATAGGGTTCCAGTGGCTTAATGGTCTACGAGCTCGCCTTGTAACCGGAAGTTCCTGGGTTCGAACCCCGGTGGATGCGTACTGATGAAGAGTCCTAAACTAGGATGAATCAGCTTTCCAGTACTCCCAGGTTTTCCAATGGTTCTCTAACCAATGTCAGTTCATGATAAATCCTGTAACCAAGTATTCAAATTTTCCTTGAAATTTATAATCACTATTATTAATCCTGCTAATGTTATGGAGATAACTTGCAATATTAAGGTTAATGAATGTATCACATCTACTCTCCTTTATAGAGCTCCATTAATTATGTTGCGTCTTAATGCCATATTAGGCAGATAGTCTTACAGTCCGAAAGTAATGCCCTTTCGCAGCAAAACAAAAAAGACAAAGCATTATATTGGAAAGCGACAGGTTTTGAATTAGAATCTATCTAGTGATTCTCTATTCAACAACTAAGATGTATACATATTGATATATTAACACTTTGAAAGTCATAGAAGAACCAGCTACCTCCAGTCTATCTTAAGACATTGCAGAAAACATCCTAAAGACTGCGGCTAACTCTTCTCTTTTGTTGCAGAACGGATTGTCATTGAGCTTCTGCAAGATAGAAACTATTTCTTCTTGATAAGTTCTGATTACTGAGACAGTTTATTAAACATGAGATTCTAGTGATAAGTTTCTAATATTTCATTAAGAATTCAAGGAGACTTAGTAGCTTTTTTTCAAAATTAATTTCACCGACAAACTGAAATTCACAATTTATTAACCAAATTTGGGGTATCTTAAACATACCACTGGTACAACGTGATCACTAATGCTCAGTGCTGTGTTTATTACCACCAGAAAAACTACCTAATAAATAAATTTTGTGAAAATCCATTTTCGACAGGAATGCGCCATACAGCATCAGTTCTGCATTATTGCCTCTTCTAACTCTTAAAAAGTAACCAAATTATTATTACGCTTCAAGTTTCTGAAAAACGAGTGTTTTTTAAAAACTTGCCTCATAATTAGATCAGGCAGTTTCGCTGCACGCAATATAAAAGTGAAATTACTTTTAAGCAATTTATGCATTTTTTCTAAGTACTTGAGAAGTAAAGGTAATGAAGGTGACAGAAAGACTCTAAAATATATACAACAATATTCACGCATACTCAACTTTCTAGATTCTTCTATGCTTAACGATAAAATAAAATAAAATATATATTGAAATAAAGATATCGCCTGCATCCATATATTTACACACCTGCGTAGAACCCCTGTTATCAGACATTCGCAATCGTATTACACAGTCAATAGTAAAACAGAACTTAGACATCTTGACTGAATATGTTCGAACAAATGTCAATAAGTGTCATTTGTGTAGAGTATGAATACTGATAAAGAATTCATCAAACAAACGATATCTAACCTATATCGTACAAATATATGATATAATGGAAGCAATTAACTTTGACCCATTTTTTTCTAATCAAATTCTTAGCTATATTGAGTGCATATTTCTTTTTGTCCATTCCTTCAAATAAAATTTTGGTATACTTTTATATAGTGCAGAAGTATCAAAAGGGAGGAGAAATTGAATTTGAATATGCTTAACCCCAAAAATACACTATGACACAAAACAATTATGATAATTAATAAGAAGTAGTATATTTCTTTACTTATGCTCTCCTCTCATTATATTCTTTATTAGTAAAATAGACTAAATGTAGAAGAGGGTAGATTGAGTAAAATAAGTTGAATGAACATCACGGTCAATACTCTATAGCTCGTGATACAAGAAAAACGAAAAGCTTTACTGAACCATAGAATTTCAAGTCTATTTGCTTCTTGTTTATATTCATCTTATCTGTTTATTTTTAAAAAAAAGAAAGTTTATCGAAACTAAATATCTATAGAATTGCTAAAAAAAGGTTTAATGTGCGCTCAGTGAATAGCAAAAAACTGTGTGAATATTTTACTTATTTCCAACAAAAAACCACTTCTTCTGCATGAATTACAAGTATCCACAATTTTCATAACTAATTCTTATGAGTGTGATAATTTTTAAAACGTCAGAAGAAACAAACATGCGATATGAATACTCCATCTCAGTTATATCAAGCATAAAATGGCTAGACATCTCATTATTATATAAAATAAACTGGAATTTTCAGTTCAGTTTTCTTATGTGAAGTATATATTGGTATTTTACGAGTTGATCACGAATTGATATCAGTTAGAGAACCACTGAAAACCAGGGAGTACTGGACAGCTGTTTCATCCTAGTTTGATAATCATCGGCAGTACGCGCCCACTGGGGTTTTCTAGCTGATATCAATCCGTGATCAACTCGCAAAAACAAACTATAGAAAAATATATTGGTGTGCCAAGCGCTATGTCAAGAACATCTACATGTAATTTGTCCTTAATCTCTCACTGACTTTTGAAATGAGTAGTTGCCAAATAATATACAGTCAGTCTATGCATTTTATACATATTAGTTTTGCAGACAATTTCTGAACCCATGGAAACACTGTTAACCATATTTGAGTTTTAGGATATTTTAACTGTAATATCAGAAAATAAAAAAGCTTACTTTCTAAATTCATGCGTGTACTATGCTCTCGTGTCTACAGGGGATGCGTATAGTTAGAATGTTTTGAAGACAAGAAGTGTTTCTGTTTCGAAACAACTTAAGCAATTTGCTTAAATTGTTTCATTCAGATAAATATTAGTGAGGTAAGCGAAAATTTATGCTGATTACCCGAAATACACAAACTTCTTCAAGCTAAACTAAAAGGTATCATGCCGAATCACTGAACAGTGTGAAGTAACTAGTTAAACAGAAATAGGTCGTTACGGGAATATGTTGTTATTCTGGTATAATTTGTTTGGTGAATGAAACAATTTTGAACACATTAGTGTGTTCGTTCAGTACAAGTCCTTTACACGAATCACCACGTTTCATAGATGGTACTTCAAAAATGCACTATACCTATGATTCATTTCCTTGCTGTAAGTTACAGTAAGTTGATATTCACTTTCAAGGTATTTCTGATACCTAACATATATAGACAAAAATATGTGCATGCATATATTTGGTTTTTATCACAGAGAAATTATTTCTTCTGTATGATTTTGTTGTTTGAGTTGGGCAGTTTGACCATGAAGCTTTTATTGTCCTTCCAAACAATATCTTCAGTGCTTACTTAAAAATGAAGTATAAAATGGCAAACACCATGTTAAATACAGTACTACATATTTTAGTGTGAGCAAAACCACTTAGACGTGCTTACGAATGTATTGGTATCAACTAAACTGCAAAAGCATTCAGAGATTTTATGGTTGCAAAAGCGAAAACTGTTTTACATAAATCAAAAGTATTCATAACACAGGTTCTTAAATAGGCAACAAGTTAATTTGCTTACATGTTATTAGGACACTTCAGTGTGAAACCAAACTATGGAATATTTCAAATATGAGGTATCTATTCGCATACACTTGTAGACAGTTGCAATTTAATTTAATTTATTCAGAACAAAACAGTTAGAGCTTAATTTAATTTACTTGGTTTATTTTACTTGATAGTACTGTTGTAGATACACACATGAACTGATGCAAAAAACTGGTAAATATCAACCTTGTCGAACTTTGAGCATCCTCTTTGTACACAACTCTACCCTCACAATTATAAAAGACTTTGGGGATATGATGGCTAAGTATAAAAACTCCATGATACCTTATTTATCACACGTTTAATGTGGTAAGAAAAGCGTTAAGCATGAAATCACCATTTTACTGCGAAATACTGGGCCAACAGCCGTTTTTATTCCTTGTTTCATTAGTATACTACTGCAACTGTTTCTACTTGATTTTAATTTTACATTCATATTCTCATTAACATTGATATAAGTATAAAACTTGCGCACTGTGGTAGAGTATAACTCCATTATAGATAAGATTTTATTTTGATAATTCACACAGTATTATATGGTAATATTAACTGATGACGTTTCGAGCACAAACTATTGCTCATAATCATATCAAGTTGAGTGAGTGACTTTATATGATTATGAGCAATAGTTTGTGCTCGAAACATCAGCAGTTAATATTACTATATAACACTGTGTGATTTATCAAAATAAAATCTTATCTCATTAACATTATTGTCAATCTAAATGTCCTATTAAGTGTTCCTCCCCCACCGCTCAACCAAGTAATGTATTGAGAAAATTACATGTAATATTGTAATACTTTCTGAAAATTTCTCATTGCGTCAAAAGTACTGTTTGGAATAAAGAGATTATTAGTATTATTATGGCACTTTTATTACATTCTGAATAATGCACATTTATAACACCATTATGGATAAGATTTTATTTTGATAAATCACACAGTGTTACACAGTAATATTAACTGATGACGTTTCAAGCACAAATTATTACTCATAATCATATCAACTTACTCACTCAACTTGATATGATTATGAGCAGTAGGTGGAGAGAGAGATTGATTACTGAATCCTGGTTCATTGAATCTAAACCCAACACATGCAACAGAAATGACTCAACGCAAATACCAGAAATATGGAAGATATTATTACCACCAGTCAAATCAGAAGAGGATAATAAATGATCTCAAAATTCTATTTCAATTAAGCACATCACAACATCCTCATAAATTACTTATTATAACTATAAGAACATTCGTCTTATTTCCCATCCAATTGTAATTGATCAATAACACTCATATTATCATTTCTGAATGTACATTATCCCATATTGATTTTTATTCAAATATCTATTCAATTCCACACATGTATATAAATGTAGGAAAGAAGCTATGTGAGTAGTGACTTGATTTGATTATGAGCAATAATTTATGCTCGAAACGTCATCAGTTAATATTACTGTATAACACTGTGTGATTTATCGAAATAAAATCTTATCCATAATGGAGTTATACTTTACCATAGTGCCCAAGTTTTATACTTATATCAATGCACATTTATCCTTAAACACACTAAATGAGGTAAACTTGCGCTGCATTTTTTTTGCCTTGCATTAATATTAATATCACTCACTAACTGAGTCAGTATGCTCTACACAGTGAAACATCAAGATGTTAATTACTTTTATAAATTTACTGAGAATACTACATGAGAAATTATCGTACCGAAGTTGAATGCTAGGATTGATTTAGCATTAAGGCTACCTGACACAGTATCATTTATTTTTTCAAAGAGGTCTGCACTATGATCTGATCATTTTATATTTATAAAAGAAACAGTGTTTAATTTCAAACTTTCATTTCAGAACAACTTGTATTTCCATTTCTCCTTGATTCTGCAATAGAAATAAGAATACAATGGCAAAGCTTAGTTGACGAAGCTATCCAACTAGTCTGAGTAGAAAACAACATGCGTCAATACTAACCAACTTTAAGATTACCGATTTTTAGTCAAGCATTATAAAATAATGAAATATTTAACTAGTGCATAGTGTTAACCCTCATCTTCACAAATATAAATAAAGTGTTACAATGAAAACAACTTACTTTGATACGTTGAACTAGTTGTCACTTTCACTGAGTCTTGCTTTCCTGATTACCGTAGAACTCACTACGAAGATTATACTTGTATTTATAAAGGAATAAAAATTGTAACACTATAGACTATCAAAAATAGACAATTAAGATATTGGTCAGTTTGTTAAATAGATGTTGAATGCATGCATACAAACACATAAATGTGAGTTCTCCTGTTGTATTTTTAATAAATTTATAAACCAATGAAAATATTCAAAATTCCTAATGCCTCATGTGTCGCATCACGACTATAACACTCAGTGGTTGATTTTTGTGAGTCAAGCACTAAATGACGATCGTTCTGTTAGTAGATTTATGCCTTTGTGCTCAACAAATAAAACTTTTAACCGGTGAACTTAATTTCATGATCTAAATTGAAATATTTAATATATATTAGTGAGCAAGTTGGCGAACACATTAGGAAGACTTATTTCATGTTACTTTTTTTATGCTTAACAGACTTATAAGTTTTATGTTTAAATCCACAATAGGATGCAAGTGACCGGAATGTTTTACATCACAAGTATACTGTTCTCATAAGCTTTTTGGCTTAACAAGAACAACAGAAAAATATGTTTTCCACCTGTTTTCTTGAATTGCATTAAAATATTAAGGACTTAAAAGTATTACAAAGTCTACTTACATGACTTCACTGAGTAACACACCGATTAAATCCCAAATAACTTTCCTGTCGAGAGAATTGTAGCACATAAACACTTAGTTCTTAGAATATATGCTCTAAAGTATAGTGGTTCTTTTTTTCAAATGCATTTTACTAGGCAATTTGGCATCGCGAAAAACGAGTGGATCTAAGTTGATAAATCCCTTCTCACCAGCTATATGAAAACATTCTGTCTCTTAAAGTCTATCAAACATAGTTGCTATGATACTTTTCTCTGTTAAAACCACTACTTCTTCACACTTGACTTCATTCACTATACCTCATGTTGTGAATCGGTTTTGCTCAACTCAGTGACATTAGCTTTGATTCATATAGAGGATAGCATCTTACAGACTTCATTCAGAATTGAGCTGATCTGAATAAACTACTTTCGCCGATTAGTTCCTGAAATAAGTGTATATCTGATAACGAAACGAATTTAATTCAGTCTTCAACGCATGCTTCTTAGTTACGCGAAACTGTATCTACAAATTCATCCAAGTAAGAACAAATTATTGTTTAAGATTTGATGCGAGTACCAATTGGTATCAGGTAGAGTGAAATTATCCCATCGTCGAAATGCGGTAAACATTGAAGTGTAGAGTGCCATTTACAAAAGATTTATGCATCCTATTCCACTTAGTGGCTTTCTGAACTAAGTGACAAGTTAGTGAAACAAAACACTAAATACGATGACAGTTTCATTAGGCTATGCGCGAATTCCTGCGTACGTTTACCTCCACCACACCACCGAAACCAGCAAATCCTAAAATTCCACCATAGTGAGGTGGAGTTTATTTTATATTATTTTTTAAATCTATATGCATTGATAAAACCATCACTACCGTGCGATCTAGCCTGATAATTGTTTTTGTCATCCTATTAAAAAATGTCTGGCAAACATGAAGTCCTAAAAAAACGGTTAAGAAGGACATTAAGAGAAGTAGTTCTGGCCGTCACTCTACTAATAGCCATCCACTGGTGCATTTTAATGTTAAGGAAGTGTTACCGCCATTGCCAATTCTATGCGCATTTATACATCCCCCTGTTCTTGTGAAGCTAGACACACAGAATTTTCGTCTAGAAACATACACTTCAGTGTTCGAGAGAACCTCCTAGCTTGTCTGAGCAAACACGAGCACAGAACCATTAATTCACCCATATTCCAATGTATGGTAGGTAATGACCACGCAGTTTCTGATGCATCATTCAACATTGTCTGAAAGGTTCAGGAAGGTTTACCGAAAGGGAACCGAATACCCTTGGTATGTATGGTGGAAGCTTTAACAATACAAAACGTAAGGCCCGAATGTTGTGTACAAAAACAGTATGTACGATCTCGTTACTTGTTCTCGTCTTACTTCTACGATGTAATTCATAAAATGTTTTTATTCTTCCTTACTTCATAATCCATTTTCTTTTAACTTATTTTACCTTATGTTATCGCATTCTAACATTTCATTGATTTCGCTTTGTTGACGACAATTCACTCATCATATTTTACTTCTTGTTATATTTGAACATGACAGACTCACATATTTACATTTTCCAATGTACTTGGTCATCCTGTTATCTATTTACTCATGTCCCTTATACTTTCGGTTCACCTTTGTTTATTCCTTTTATATTTCTAATCATTCTGTTATCCATAACCATCTATACTGATCTAATCGCACCCACTGTCGAATTTCGACACACCTACACACAACAACATAACTTATTTTCTATTTTAATTCATATTTAGAAATACGACTGTACATCGGTGAAAATAGAATCCACAAAAAGACAATTTTCTTCATTGAAATCATTGGTTTATGTCTCAGTGGGAATTATTAATTTAAATGTCTTACCATTCATTATGTAAAACAACATTTAACTAACAAGCATATTCATCAGCTATTTTAGTTCTTCTTTCTTAACATCAAAATGAGAATAAGAATTATGTATTCGTTTTTTTTCTGTTATAAGTGACATCAGTATCAAGTTTGAACATATCTGTTTCCCTTATATTAGTGTTATGGTTCCGAAATGGGATAAGACTGGTTGGTAGGCAAAAGAAACTTTCATGTTTTGCATTAGTGAATGCTTATATTTCGGTGAATAAGCGGTTTTATATTTTCAGCAAAACAACGAGTATATATAATCTAGCTGTTGAAAGTAGTAGATATTTCTCCATATGATTTAACCCCTCAAACACAAACACCTCCACATACTGTGCCAAGTAATGAAAGTGGGAATGGTATAAAAACACCCCACTAAATGAACTTAGAATGAAGGCGATAAAATAAAGGAGGATAGTGTGTATGTGTTTGTAGTAGTATTTTCTCCTGCAAAATCTGGAATTATCTAGGCAGTCAGCTTCCAATACTAGACTGATTGGAAGTGAAATGATGCCAGTGTTGAACAAATTTAGTTTTAACATTCCAACACTGCAAAGTTTGCAAATAATGTCTTGCAAAATAAATCCAGATTGTCTATTTCAGCCACGAACTTCACAATTAACAGTAAACTAGCATGCTGTAGGTCTGAATTTAACAAATCAGATTTCAAGCAATTTTTTCACTCATTTGTAAAACAAGATCTTGATGTATTAGATGGTTGGAGGCAATCGGCAGGAAGCCTTGGACCTAGGTTTTGTGCTAGTTGGAACTCATCAGCAGGGCGTATCTGCAACCTTGAAGGAACTGATGTCCCTTCTGAGATTCGAACCCGCGTCACGCAGTGCTGCAGTCAGAGACGTTACCACTGAGCTATTCAGGCTCGCGACTGACCTCCTGTAGGACTGTATTGGATATTTTTAATTGCACACTAGTCAGTAACTAGTGTAACGCCTCCAACCATCTAATACCAACAATTCACAGTGCACCGTAATGGCGAGCCACCTAGCATGGTGGCCACATTGCAAACATGACTGATAGAATTCAGTCTGCACCGAAGATGGGACTAGACGCATTACACTAGTTACTGACTAGTGTGCAATCAAAAAAAGATCTTGAAGTCCAGGTAACAGTAGAGCTCAGTCTCTGTTTGTTGAAAAATTTACACTACAATCGCGGTAATTATTATTCCATTTCGCATACTTAAAACACGTTTCAGTGTATATAACGTTTAAATACTATTTTGGACAGTAATTCCTCACTAATGTAAGTGTAGAACTAGGGCAGTGTGGTAGGATTTAATTTTGATAAGATTATGAGCAATAATTTACGCTCGAAATGTCATCCAGTTGTTAATACTGTGATTATTAAGATAAACTTACTAATTAACTACTCGAATGAATTTGTAAATATTGTTTCATATATATATATATATATATATATATAGACAAAAGTGTACAGCATGACACTATTAACTTACTGAGAAGCACCAAGTGAATGACCCTTTAATTTGTTTTTATATTCATATTGAATAATATTATCAGTGTAAATACCCAGTTTTAATTATTACCCCTGTATTATGTAATAAGAATATTAAATGCATATTGTATACATGCTAAAAATTCCGTATTTGTATCAAAAGTACTGCTTGGGACAAAGTCATTATTATAAGCAAGAATGCCTCTGATAAGATTCTACTGATATCGTTTAGTGAGAAGACACCAACTAAAATTCACGTTTATTTGAAAAGATGCCACTTATGTAAAATAAAATTTATCAGTTGGTATTCAACACTTTCTAATCCTACTTCTTTAACTAGCTTCTCCTAATCGACATCCACTTTGATAGAAGTAATTCGGTTCAAAATTTCGGTTGGTTACGAAATTTTTAATGAAAGTTTATAAAACCTATTCCAGGAAATAGATATTTTTTTAAATGGATGGCTAACGACTTGAATTTCTCACTACGAATCAACATTTGTACGAAGTTAACGTCATCGCCTCTAGCCTTTAAACAACGCTTGTAATTCACTTGAATATCTCCATGAATTGTTCAGCACAAGACTAATTACAGAGGATAACTGTTGTCTAAAAATTCTTCTTCACACCCTGCACGTATAAACTTTTTTTGGTTATAGCTTGATTCCACACAGTATTTTTGGTACAAGTATGGAATTTTCAGCATGTGATATCGGTAGCTCAAATTTTCCAGGCCAACCATTGATATCAGAAGTGCATCGGCAGGAGATCGAACTCCGGACCATTTGTATGGTCGGCGAGAGTCTTAACCGCTATGCCGCCGACGCACAATAAGGGCGGCCTATTACTCATCAAGTCACAGGTAGGATAAATTTGATTTCAATTTTCAGGTGTGCAAATTCAGGGATTTTACTGATACCAAGTAAGACTATGAACTGATATCATTGAGAAAATAACTGAAAATCAGAGGGTATTTGATATCTATTTCTTTCTAGTTTT